TATATAATTATATATATAATAATTAATAGAATAACAATAATAGTTGATAAAATTTTTCCATAATAAAACCTTGTCTGCTCCAAATAATTACAATTTAACAATTAATTGAAACGTATGTTCGGCAAAGTTATTATATTACAATAATTGCTATAATAACATGTTTTTTTTTTTAAACCGATTATAAATTTTATTACCGACGAATAGTCACGCTAGAAAACTCGCAAGTGTCAACTATTTCAAAACCCCAGAATTATCTCGTTCATAAATTTTTTTCAAATATACATTTGAAATATATTTTAGTCAGTATACGTTCCTGAACTCTGAACCTTCACACTATGGTGGTTCAAGACCCGTGCCAGTGAAAGGCAGTTAGAGAAGAAGAGAAATAAGACATTTTCGTCTGGAGAACCCGATTTAATCATCGTGCAAGAATTCGATCTCGAATATTAAAGAAGCGATTAACCGAAGTGTGTGTTATCAGCCGAGTGCAAGATACGCCTTATGCACGAGCAATTTATTTTCGAAAATGGTAGTAGCGATCCAAATGACGACTTTATTCGAATAGTAATAAAACTAGTGAATCAATTTGAAAGAGAGAAAATCTTTTCAAGGAAAGACTGGTTATAAGACATAAATAGGTTTGCTATTATTTTAGTTGTAGCGATAAAATGTTAGAATAGCAGTAAAAATAAAAACAATAAGAATATTGATCCAGATCATTATTACGACTAATTGTAATAATTTAATAATATTTCTTTATGATTTATGATATATTTCAAAGCGTAAAAGATAAATTCTCTCGTTGCCTCTATTCTGTTCTTTTTTTATTGCATGTATAATTTTAATAAAGAGTATCCTTATTACACATTAAACTTTTCACGACTAATATATTTTATGTATTTTAAAATATAAATGATTCCATGCTTGAATATTGACTTGAAATTTCTATGGCATCAAAGAAGATGTATTTAAAGAAACTAAAGGCCTGTAGGAGGATAAGTCTGAGAATAAATAATCTGGAAATAGCTTCACGTAATTCGAAAGTACACAGTGATTCTTAATTAACTGAAGAAAGTCCATGGGGAAAGGATAAGACCGAAACTTCTTCGACCTGTGCACTTAAATTGATCAGCAACCATAATCGCAGAAAGATCTCGCCAGAGCACATTTGGCGGCACGAAGGGGAGAGAGTAATCGTCTCTCGCACACACAATTAAAGATATTAATTTCAATGCGACCGGACACAGCGATAAAATCGATTTTAGTGATCAATCGCGCAAACTCTCGCACTATAATTCGAGTCACGATTGATTTATATGCGGGTACAATGTTGCTCGCTTCCATGGTGTTTCCTTTTTCTCTCTCTTCCTTTTCTTTCTTACTTTTTCTTTCTCGTGCTAGCAACTCGTGCAATACGCGCGTTTGCCTTTGCACTCGCGAAAAATAAATACCGGCCACATAACGCATCCATCATTTGACGGTCCTGGGCCCGGGTATCACACCGATTTTGCCGGCAAGAATTTGTGCAAAGCATTGATTTACTTATTTTTGCTTCTTCTCCAGCGAGGGAGAGGCGCGAGAAAGATGGATAATTTTGAATAAAAATATCGAGTACAAAGTTGAAAAATATATCTCTCTAGCTTTTAAAAAATATATATATTATATTAAAAATTGTTGAAGTAGAGCTGGCAGTCAGATGAAAAATTGATTAAATTAAAAAAAAAATTTAATAAATTTTTATCACTTTTTTGAAGTTTAACTTAGATAATTTATAAAATCTTGTAATTTATACAATAATATTGATAGATTAATTTACAAAATTCACTATTCATTATTTTATAATGTAATATTATAAGTAATTTATATTTCTTTTTTATTTTATTGTATAATTTGTAGGAAAAAGGACTAAGTTATGTGAATTAAGCTATAATAAATAATATATGCTAGACTATGAATGTCGATTAATAATAATAAATCAGTTGGAAATGTTTCGCGTACTTACTTGTGTATCACCCGTTGCGTCCAGCAACGTCGTCGCTCATATCGTGCAAAAATTCGCAAACACTACTCGCAAACTTCTGTATGAACTACTATGCGCACAGTAATGATAACAAAAATAGCTACTCTCGAGAGTCGATTAGAACCTTTCGTCACGAATAAATTTGTCACAGTAGCTAGGCAAACATTGTGACCACTATATTTCTTTCTCTGACCACTGAGCTCTTTTCACATCAAATTCTCGTATATGCACTATGGATTTTAAATATTCAACTAAACGTTCTCGATATTTCTTTCTTTTTTAATTACTTTCTATAGAACTTAACAAAGATCCTAGATATTCTTTTATCCTACAAGGTCGTCGGCCTAGAGATCGCGGTTTACAGCGGGTTCCGCATCATTGGAATTGCGGTACACACCCAACTGTTCCATATGAGAAATGCAATGTTCATCTTACTATTTATAATTTGTAGAGAGGAATATATCCGCAATAACTAATTTATTTTTAAAAACTAATAACAATAATATAACAATAGTAACAATAAATTTCTCTCTCTCCCCGTTTCCTTATTAACAGATTTCTTTCTCAGTAGGGATTATTATCTTTCTTCTTTTTATAAATTTCCTTTTTCTCAATAACAAATGTTCTTTTTCTTCTTTAATGACCTTTTCCCTTCATAAACATAAAGATTTTTTTTCTTTTTTCTTGCACCAACTAATTTTGTTCTCTTTTTTTAATATTCTCTCTTCTTTAATAACTAGTTTCTTTCATGTGACCAAATTGTTCTTCGACAATTTATTCTTTTTCTCAATAATTAATAATTTTCCTGTTCTATTCAAAAATATGTATATTTCCGAATGAGAAGTATTACTGATTGCAACGACGATCGATATGCATCCCGACGTGGATTCCTAGAGCGTGCGTGTTAACGCCGACGTGATTCTACTGCCAAAGCGACGAGTTCGCTAATCGCTTCTCTTCACGATGAGCAGAGGAAGATTTTCTTGCTCCATTCTCATTCGTTCTCGCAGAAAGCATCGATTTACGCCGACCGATAAAACTTCACGTGCAACACCGATCTGAATATCGCTTTGAGCAAGAATCATGATGATTGATGGTATATAAAACACCCTTAATAAGTTCGAGACATCCCTTATCTAACTTAAAGTCAAGAATCTGTCTAAACAAGAGAATAAAAAAAAAATTCGCAAAAAATCATTATTAAAATTTGTAAATTATACCTTTAATCTTTTCAAAGAAATAATTAATTTAAATAATCTAATAAGAATTAATTAAAATTATTGTACATCTTTCATAAGTGATAATCTTAGATATTAAATAAAATAATCGACAGTAACTAGTTCCTATTAAATTGCAATTTATCTTCATATTAGATTAATCATTTTTCAATAAAATTAACTTTTTAATAAGAAAATTATGACTTTCTAGACAAAAAATTTCCAAGATAAAAAAAATTAAAATTAAAAAAGAATGATCTAAAAGAGAGACTGTAATTTCTTTGAAATAATTAATTTCTTGAATAATTCTACCGGTCTTAAAAAAAACCTCACACATTTAATTTTACTATTATTATCATCTCCAATCTTATTAGTATATTATTGTATTTAGCAGTTATTATTTTCACGTCGTTCCTACCGAAGTGATTATTACTCCACTAAGGTCCCGATATCCATGTCGTCTATAATATCCTGCTCAATCACGTAGATTGGAAAATCATGTTTTTCGCTATTTATTAAATTAATAACAGCCTCTTTGACATCATTGAATTTACGCTCACTCGATCAAAAGTCTGATATCCACATCATATTATTCACATTTTATTTGAGAAAACTATTTTACCTTTCTTGCTTAATATAAAGCCATACTCTGATTTTATCAGTATGTCATTTCTCTACCGAAACTATAAACAGCTTACTCTGTCAAAATCCACGTTGTTCTCCAGCATTATCATTCGTTACCCGTATTATTCTCGATCTTGTCCCCCAGTTAACTCAGTTACGATATTCACATCGTCATTGTACTTCCGATGACGATTTAAAACTTTGCTTCGTTCCTCTTTTCTCCGAGTAAAATCCGTTATTTCGGTGCGACTTTCAGGGTCTTGATATCCTTAGGGCGATTCGCGTTATCATTGGGAGCGGCCTAAGAAGAGGACTTAGAATTCGCGTAGAGTTGAGCGCGGGCGTAATAAGAGACTGCCCGCTGACGGCGGTAGCCGCGGTTCGTGCCCACAAGCAGCGGCAACACGGAGGAGAACAGGGCAGGGTGAGATGACCCCTCTCCCCTCCCGCGTACACCGGAAGACTTCAGGCCTGGGCCTCGTTCCCGGCCCCCGTTCCCGGCCTCGGCCGCCGCCGGCCGCGTGCCCCGTCGGCAGAGACCCCGCGGCGAATCCAAGAGCTCAGTTTGCTATCTCTATCTCTCTCTCTTTCTCTTATCGCGATGAGGTTTACTGCAACCGGCAGACTGAGATCGAGAGGGGTCCCCACGTGTCGGGAGGGCCTATCGACTACAGTCGATAATAAAGCAGCCCCAAGTAGAAGTCGTCCATATATGTTGAAATATCTTTTTATTTTTTGAGAATAATTATATTTTAATACTTTTTCAAAGGCTTATTTCTTTTATTTTATTAAAAGCTTGATGATATAAGAATATATCAGGTATATTAAGCTATCTAAGCCAAATTAGCAGAACATAAAAAATTTTATATGGAATTAATTTGCTAATTATTTGCTATTTTTTACTTTTAAAAGCAAAAAATAGCAAATTAATTCCATATAAAATTTTTTGTGTTCTGATAATTTGGCTTAAATAGCTTAATATACCTGAATATATCTACAAATTCTCAAAGAATTCATTCCACAATTTACGCGAGACCCCTTTATGATCTATATAATCTTCTAATTTAATTAGAAAATATTCTCATATAAGAATACAAATAAATTTCTGTTTTAAATAACTTGATTCTTTTGGTACTTACCTCATCAGGAATTAAACAATCAAAATGGTGGGCCGAGTTTCTTCAGCTTCCTTAGCAGTTCCGGTTTGGTTGCCAGTGCCTTGCGGATGGACTCAAACAATACTTTAGTTTGATCATAGGGCGGAAATGGCATGCCTTCCAGATTGTAGACGTAGACGACGCCCTCGACATCAGCGACCACCAGCTGATTCCCGTTCGCCGTAAAATCAGCGGCTACCAATCTCGCTCCATTCGTTGAAATCGTTACGGATGTTGGACTGTGCGTTTTCCTATGGATGTCCCACACACAAATCTGGTCATTCACGACGCTAGCGATGATAGTGGAACATGTAGGGCTCCAACAGGCGTTCCTCACACACGCCATTACTGTCGACAGGGTGATGAGTGGCTCAGTGAGACCCTCGGCCCAGATCCTGATGCACCAATCGGCGCCGCAGGTCAGAAACAACTTCTGACAAAAGGGCGAGAACTCGAACGAGTAAATCGGGCCGTCGTGCGCCACAAAACTGTCTACGTGCTGACGCAAATAATTCGTAGAACATCGGTAGACACAACCTTCGTCGGAACCGACAAAGTAAACGTTGCTGACGACGGGGTGTCTTCGGAGAATAATGGCGCCCGGTTGGCGATTGATGGGCACGTCATAAGCCATACAGTGATCGGTTCTAGAAATTCCGCCTAATTTACCTTCGATTCTATATAACCGCATGATCTCTGTGGCAAAAAAATCTTCGCCCAAACGGTAGCAGTATATCCGGCCATCTTGATCACTGGTGTAGATCTGTTCTTGATAGTCAAATTGCTCGTCGCCACTCCACCATTGAACCTGGTGAAAAAATTAAATAATATTAATCAAAGTTGCACCGTATAGATATCGTAGGTAATTAATAAATAAATTATATATTTACAAAATAAGAAAGTATAACAATAACACGGAACACATTAATTATGTAACAGAAAAGAGCGAGATAAATATTCTTTAGTAATTGAAAATAAAAATATTCTTATTTATTAATATTTGATACGTACACACACATTCTCATATTCAATACATTTTTACAGTACCAAATTAGAATAATAAATATCGTGCGTAATAATTAATATTCTTACTTGCCAATGTGGCGAGCAAGCTGCCGATGTCTCCCTATAACTCTGCCTAATGATGTTCATCTTCTTAGCGCTGACATCGACTACCTTTACACTACCGTCGTAAAAACCGATTGCCAAAAGATTCGGTCGTTCCTTGCTCCAATCGATGTCGGACAGCGGACTGTCAAAAGTGTACTCGCGACCGGGTTGGCTAGGGTTCTTGGCGCACCAGATCAGCAATACCCCGTCCGTTCTGTCGGACCCGGTTTTGGCGCCGTAGGCGACAGCGAGGACGCTCGCGTTTGCCGGACTCCAACGGAACGCGGCCACAGGACGATCACGCACCATTTCGCATGCGAATGTCCACAGCAGATCTAGCCGATAATCGAATTCCAAATCCAGGGCGCATGGATCGCGCTTGGTTAAGCCAGTAAAGCGTTTCTGCGCCTCTACGAATACATTGTTTGCGATTATACGTTCCATCACGCGTGCCGCATCCAGAAATCCTGTCTCCCGACAGATACGAGACAATTGCTCCTCGGAGCTCTGTTCGGGGGTCGTTTCAGGCTCGGGGAGCTTGTACCGGAGTTCCTGTTACAGAAATATAAACAAAAATTTCTCCAAAATCTATTTTATACAAAATGTTTCTATACTTTTTTGTCAAGCTTTATTTATTAACGAACACTTATATACTATCTTCCGAAATGTCGAAAAATTTAAAGCATTTAAAGGATAAAAACTCAAAAATTTTTAATCTTTTATATTCTCTCTTCTCCTGTGTAAAATATATTTTACATTTATCGTTTCGAATCCTTTTTACATATTTAAAAGTTCTCTCAAATTAAATTAAATTAATTTTTCGTTTATAAAAATAAAGCTAGATGTATCGATTTTTCAATTATACAAATACGTTTGCACATACACAACATATTCTTTCCTTTTATCTTTTAAAGGTATAACGGCTTAAAAAAAAAGTTTATAAGTAATTGCGCACAGCGATTCTTACCTGCGCTTCTCGCATCCGTTGAATGGATTCTTTCGTATGTACGATCACACGTCCATTTTTTTCTATCATCAGCTCCGGTGCCGCGTAAGTATCATAAATCACCCAATTATTCACGAACGTTCCCTGATTTCTGCGAGGCCTCAAGCCACAGTAGGTGCCACGCGATTTTGTCAACACGCGTACCGTTTGCGTCTCGACGTTCAACAGCTTCCGATTAGAGCCCGGTCCTACCGTCACGTATTCGTAATTTTCGTTTTCCCGTTCAACCGCCTGTCCCTCGGGCGTCCACAAATCCTCGGTCATCTGCGGCATCTCGAACAGAAAGAACGTCCGCGTCTCCCTTAAGGTGATCGTCACAGTTTCCGGATGCGTCGCGAATATCGCCGAGTCGTCGCTGTAAATTATTGATTATATGTCATTTAAATGTCATTTAAATTCATAATATTTTACATAGATCTCTCGTAAAAATTCGTAATGTTGCAAAATTGAATTTCCATCGCTTGGAAGTAATCGAAATATATAATATATATAATTGTTACCTAGGCAGAAAAAATGGCGACGGCGCGGCGTCCTCGTCGTCCTCCGTGGGCAGAGACTCACAAATTTGCGTCGACAGCAGACTCTCCATCTGCAAATCGTCGGACGGCATCGAGATGAGGGACTTGAAAAGGACGGAGGAACTGGTCCTGAGACCGCTGATCCTCGAAGGCGATGCCGTCAGTTGGGTGGCGCTTCCGGTCTGGAATAATCCGATGGTCTCCAGGGCGGTCGTCTGATTCTCGTCGATGGTGCTGAAGGCCGCGTGGACCAACGGCTTCGGCGTCACGTCCACGTTTTCGTGAATGACCCGAAGAGCTTGTCGTTGTGCAAGAAGCGCCGAAGCGACATTCCGCTCGCATCCCGTCTTGCGAACTCGTCCGAGAGTGCTGAGCTTTATCCTGGACGAAGTAACGCTGGGAATCCTCGAGGATGTCCGTTGCGGTGATTCGAAGTCGCCAGTTTTCATTCTGCGAGCACGAGAGAGTACATACAGAGTTGCGCGTCGTTGTGCGGACCAAAAAACTTATAGTCTCTAGAGTAGGGGAGCAACGTTTGGAATTAATAATTGAAGACGCGAGAAAGCTCTCATCGCCATTTTCTGTGGTTCCTTGGCGACGTTTGATCAATTTTTCATGTAAGAGATCGAAAAGGAGTAAAGCAATGGGCGCGTTTAGCAGACACAACTGTTGAGTTCGTCTTATCAACACTCTGCATTGATTGGTTGGTTCTAAAAGTAAGAGCCAATCACGTTCGACTGCTACTGAGCAGCTTGGTCTGCTGAACGCGACCAATAAGCATGTTTTCTAAAAAGAGGCAATGGCGTTGGCGCTGTTTGGCGCGGCGCATCGTATGCCAAATACACGACAAAAAACTATTCAAAACTTATCGGGAAAGAGGAGTCTAGAGAGACAAGAACCTGCATATATTTTTTCGTAATTTTCAAACAAGTATTTTTTAATAATTAGTATCGTTTAAAATGATATAATAATTAAATTATATTGCGAGCATTTTATTTTACTGAACCCAATACTTAATGGATATACCGCGATCACACATGCAGAAGGCTCGGGGGTGGGGATCTGATCGAGGATCGAGCATCGAGTCTTTTCCTTGCGCGCCGTTGTTCTTATGGGAGCAAATACTTTATCGAATGAAAATTCTTGTTTTGTTCCTCGTTGCTTTCCACTGCAGCTCACTGCATCTCTGATCCATCCGATTTACCTACTTCAATAGTACAATCGTCAATGAATCTTACACAACCTGTAACATGAAAATAATATTTTCATTTAGATACACAAATCAAAATATCAAAATAATCTCTTTTATTCCCTTGAATAAAATATATTTTTATTTATTTTATAGTAATTGCTAAAAGGAACTCATCAAATTAAGAAAATAATTAAGAAAATGTCGACCCTTAGGTAAATGTCTCTATCGATAAGACGGACGAAGATTGTTATCCGATTAGCTCGGTGTAGGTGCAGGGTGCAGATCTACTCGAGTACTCGCTACACCTGAACCGGACAGCATACGCCATACGGCATTTTTGCCCTCCGCTATACATAGCGTTCTACGTAATATATTTTACTGTAATCGATAAAATTGCCTGAGATGGTATAGCGAATAGCGATGTGTCAGAAACGTCGAACGTCGTGGGATCTACGCGCGATGCGAGCGAAAGGAGATAGGAGAGGAAGGAACACGTACACATAGGACGTGCAGGGAAGCGTGAACCGTGTGGAATTGTGGAAACTGAGAGCGAGGAGCGGGGGTGGGGGATGACATGACAGCGAGAAGCGAGACAGTGATGTGGTAACAGCTGTACTAGCTGTAGCTCCAAGCTTCTCGGAGGATTTTCGGATCGAACGAAATCGCTCCGTTAGTGTCAATATAGTGTCTCTTTATACGCAGCCCGCGTCCGGAGTGTCGGGTGCGACGCGAGTCGCGAGTTCGCGAGACGCGGCGGTTGCGGCGCATGGCATATTAACGCCGCCAGGGCGAGCGAGACGGGACTTACGGGACTGGATCGGGTCGAATGCGATCGGTCGACGGCGACGGCCCGAATCGGACAATTCCTAATACACAACGGAGCTTACGGAGCACCTCTGACGCGCCATGTCGCGCGTTCCCAGCTGATCCCACGTTTGACACAACAACGCTGAACGCACGCGTTTCTCGCGGGCGGTCGACCGTCGACGGCCGAAATTGCGCAATTACAAGGTGGAAGACATAGCCGCGCGCGTCTTCCTACATGAGCGTGACTCGGTCGTGATTCGGTAAAATCCCGGAGAAGCTGCCGAGAGAGAATGGCGGAGCTGGATGACTTATTTCACACGGATCAATATGTAGGCCCGGAGCGGCTTACCGATCTGTGCTACAAACTCATCTGCGAGAATCTCGATATTATCTCGGTAAAGGGGAAACGCGGCCATCGGATGCTGCGGAAGGGGATAACCTTCCCGAGCGAGATATGCGACAAGATTATAGAGTACGCGCAACGCAGCGAGGCGACCGAGGACGACGATTGTTTTTTCTCGATCTTCAAAAACCTCGCGGCGACCCGACTGAAGCACGTCAAGATCTCCAATTGCAGCCTGAGCAACACCTCGGTCCAGACCCTCGTCAGCCACAAACTCTACGACTTAGAACTCACCGATTGTAGTAACTTAACGGAATTTTGCATCGAGCATATTAATGCCAATTCGGAGAACTTGCACAGCTTAGCGTGCCATGGAACTTCGATGATCGTACCTTCTAGTTTAAACGCCCGTAAGAAACCGCTGTTGTTTATGTCTTGCAGTCCATCGTAACGTGATCCACAACAAGCGGATTATTACCTTAACTGTCTGTAACTCCTTGTTACAGCTGGCACGTCTATCAATTACTACCAACGAGGATACGTTTTCAAAACGCCAAATTTAAAACGTCTCGCATTAGGATACGTAGGAATACCCTCGTCAGAATATTTACTGCTCTTAGCAGGGTTAACGAATCTGACGCACCTGGACTTGTCCAATAGTTGTAACATTGATACTTTTGAATTTTATCACCTGGTACCAAATTTAGTATCCTTAGCTTTGTACAATGTCAAGGTCAATACCGACCCAAAATCTTTTGTCATGAACATCTGTCAGTTGAAGAATTTAAGGTATGTTATAAAGTTTTGATTATATAAACAATATGATCGTAAAGCTTGCTTAGTTATACATTTTTTTAGAGTGAAAATAGACTGCTAGGTGACACGCAAAAAACTTGTTAGACGATATTAGACAAGATAGATTTACATAGAATGTTTTTACAGGCACTTGGATATTTCTCAGTCAAATTATAAACAGGGACAGTTTGATAATCCCAATAAGATCCTAGCTGACCTAGTGAGTGGTCTACCCCAATTGGTTTCTCTAGACATTGGCGGCACAAATCTTGCCGGAAGGGGCGTTGCTGAACGTCCCATTGATACAAATATCGAGGATACCAATTTTGGATATACCGATATACCAGGACTCGCATCTAGGATACATAAGCCATTACAATTTTTAGGACTTTTTGCAACTGCTTACGGTGCTTGTAGAAGACATGACATACCGGCGAAAGTGGTGAGACATATACGAGTTGTACCACAATTCACGCCATTTAATTATATTTAGTCCTTGATGAAAAACAAGACGAAAAATTCTGAAATTTTTTTTCTGATGCTTAACAAAAGAGATATTTGTTAAATAAAGTCCACAGTTATATACATATATAGTTTTTAATTTGTTAACTGTGTGTTACAGCAAAAAATTTGTTGGTGAAAGTAATTACTTTTTATTCATCTATTTATTTTCTCGTGAATTGGCTTTAGGTGGCTGGTGATGCAAATGAAGATCAAATATTGATCGCAGCTCATGTTTGTATGGACAATAAGCAAGAATTGCTACAAAAAGTATTGAGTGACTTATACCATGTATTTAGGTATGAAAATTGTCATAGAATGGATCAAGCACTATGTACCGTCTTGGAAGCGATGGAAAAGCATCCAACTCAAAAGCATATACAGATATCAGGAAGGTATGCATGCGCGTAGGCGCGGATTCTATAATTTATAAATTGCCCATTGCCAAGAAAAGCAACTGCGACTTTAAGAAAGCACCGTTAAATTTGTGCTCACAATTGCAACTTTAATTTTATATCGCATATTGCAGCGCCACGTTATTTTACATAGTAAAGATGAAGGAAAAGGGTGAATTAGTAGCGCGAATGAAGAGAAGGATTATCAGTACTCTCCTTGCTGGTATGAGCACACATAGGGACGAAGAGACTATGATGCGGAACGGTTGTTTGGCATTGTGTCAATTCCGCATACCACATGATGTGGTTTGTATTATTTTCAAGTATTTTATATATTTTTCCGCTGAGTCGTAAGACATTAGTCTTCCATATTAAACTCTTTACGGTAAAATCGCAAGAGTATTGTTTAATAAAAAAAAAAGTCCATTTTTTTGATAATAATGTAACTATCATTCATTTCTGTAGATGTCGAATTATGAAACCCTTGTAAAAGTGCTTCTACATTCAGCCAAACACTCAGAGCCAGAAAGTTTTGTCCAAAGAATTGGCATATATCTATTAAATTCTTTAGCTTGTCAAGTGGAAGGTAAAGAGAAAAGATTACTCGGCAAACTGGGTTGCGTTAAAACTATGTTAGAATTGGTCGAGTACAGAGTGGAGACGAATATATTTGACGATGTATTAGAAGTCGCATGGTCAACTATGTGGAATATGACAGATGAAACATCTATAAATTGCCAACGATTCTTAGATGAGGAAGGCATGGCACTCTTCCTCAAATGCGTACAGGTATGTCTTACAACATACGTTCGATGGTTGAAACACGATATATTTAGCTTAAGCTGCAATTTTCGTTTCTACTGCAATATAATATTCTATCATGTGTTTAGCAATATCCACATAAAGAAGAACTGTTGAGGAATATGATGGGTTTGCTCGGTAATGTAGCAGAAGTCGAATATCTTCGGATCCATCTTATGCAGGAACGATATGTAACCGTCTTCGCCAATCTGTTACGTTCTAATAGCGATGGAATCGAGGTTTCGTATTTCCCTTTTTTTCTCCATTTTTTTTAATCCTAATGTGCTCACAAATAGATATATTTCTCGATTTATATAGGTTCCATACAATGCTGCTGGTATATTGGCACACATGGCATCTGATGGTATTGACGCTTGGACAATAGAAAAGCCAACTCGTAAGGAGGTTCTTAAATACATGGTGCAAGCGATTGAAAGTTGGGACTTAAATGCAGAACGTAATATTAATTATCGCTCGTTTGGACCATTATTACGCCTGCTGGATGTGTATCATACTCCTCCGTGTCAACATTGGGCTGCTTGGGCTCTCGCCAATCTCACCAAAGTATACTGTACGTATTTAATAATATTCATACTTACGACGAATCATTTAATATCCGCTGTTTTGCTCTATTTGGCTTTGGCTATTTTATGTAATATAATTTAATCGATGTTTTAGCATTCAAATACTGTGCATTGGTAGTAAAAGAAGGAGGGCTAGAGAAGCTACATACGGTGATAGAAGATTCCAGACCATACGAACGTATAAAAGAACTCGCAAACTTGGTGATCGAAAATTGCTGTCAATATGAGAGCCATTCCGACGATGTAAATGTTTCTAATTCTGCCTTAGACGCGGAATATAGTCTGGACGGCTGAAAGAAATCTTAGTAACATCATTATGCACGTCGCATAATTTATATCATCTCTTTAGACAAAACAAATTATGATTAGTATCATAACTTTGACGAATAGCGGAGGAATAATTACGTAGACGAGTCAAATTAAACATGAGTGTGTTACATTAACTTGATAACGATAGATCTGTTCTTTGTAGCTGTGCTATGTCATATGTCATACTTTCTGCACTTAAGACGAAATAAGTATATGTCGCAGGAATTTCGTGTAACTCTTTTTTTTTCCCCAAAATCCGTAGGGAATCCACAAAAAGCTGGGATATTGTGAAATAAATAAAAATTAATATAAATATAATAAAAGTTAATATATAAATATAAACTTATATAATTATATTTATATTTATAAATATAATTTATAATATATTTATAAATATAAATTAATAAAAATCTCAATTTGCAATTTTACTGACAGAATCTAGGATTCCTGCGATATATATAATTAGATGGAGAGAAAAAGAGAAACGATGAAACGTACAAAGAGTTTAGCTACAAAGAACAAACTTATTTCTTTTTCGACGAAAAAGTGGAAAGGAACGGATGCTCAATATTACAATTACAAAGGTTGTGTATGCATGCGGGCGTGTGTACGTATGTGTGTGTGTTTTTGGGCGTGTGCATGGATTTGTATGGAGAACGCGAAGTATTTTGAAACAACTATTCAATTATTCGCAAATATTCATCTTATACTTATTATTATTGCCGATAATTAATTGTTAATTGAACTGAAAATCTTTTATCTGCTCGATATACATACGGTGTTACAAATGTCTTGCCCTAAGAGAATCATGCCATTACTGGCTGTTGTCAAAAAATTAATCACTTATCATGTGATTACTGGCTGTTGTCAAAAAATTAAAAATTAAGTTTTTATTGATTTAAAAATATGGATTAAATATAAGCTGTTTACTTACTTTTAGTCCTACGTATTTACTTTCATGCATGTGAAACTCACAGGTACTAAACTCAGGTAGAATTTTGAACAATGCATTTGTCATGCCGTGTGTATGTATGTATATAATACGCGCTTTTAATAGTCGAGCCTCCTCACATTCGACTAGGGCTGTTACTCTTCGACAGCTTCGAAGATTCGAAAAATATATTTGCGACATAAGCGACATAATTACAACATTAGAAATTTTATTTGGATTTTGTCATATAATTTTATAAATGTGTGTCTATTGCGTTGTTATTATTATTATTATTATATTAAATTAATAATTGTATCATTTTGATTCTTCGAAGCTTCGAAGTTCGAACATCGAAGCCTTCGAAATAAACCGCCAGTTCTACTTTCGACATCCCTGTTCTTAACCAGCTAAATTTTCAAAAATAATTAGTGAAATTGCGAATACGCAATAATATGGATAATATGAGAAGAATAGCGGGAAAGAATAGGGAGTTTGTTTGTTCTAACGGATTAAAAGTAACGAGCTTTGATTGTAAAAAAGCGAGAATGAATAATTGCAGCTAAGGCTTGCACGCTTATTATACTTGTCTTTAACTAATCATATTCACTTTCGTACGACATGTGGATGTTTGTTCCGGTCTTTCTTTTCTTTCCTTTCTTTGCTTCTCCCTTTCTTGTAGATCTATAATAATATATAACGTAGATAATTCGTTCTCATTATACTAGGATTTTTCCAACAAGGATGTGACAAGCTTGGAAGGATTTTGCGTGTAAATAGAATTACGAAGGAGCAGTACATTAGATTTAAATGTTTTGTATGTTATATCGTTATAATTACCATTAAATTACCCTTGAAAAAATTAACTCGATTAAGCCCCAGTTACACGATCAAACATATACTTTCAATCAATTTCCAGATTTGTCTTTTCATAGATTCTTGTCAGCAACAAGAATGCGCGGAGAAATAATTACAGCGATTAATTATTGTTACCAGCGTCAACGTAACGTGACGATGTAATCACATGACAATGCATACCCGGTTTGTTCGATGTATAATATAGTATTATCTAAAATCGTAATTAAGAATATGCATTTTATTCTCTTTTCTATCCTTATTTTTTTCTTTTTGTTTAAAAAAATATTGTGGCTACTTGTACAGGCTCATATTCTGGTTTACGATAATCGTATTTCAATGAAAATAACAACAATAGTAGTTACAAAACATTAATTATTGTAATTAATAACTACGACCAATAGTTATAATTCCAAGACCAATCACAATGATGGTAAATTATCAATAATTATAAATTAATAACATAATTATAATCAATACTTATATTATTTTATTAACATGGACAGAATTATTAATTTTTTGTTACTTAACATGTAGGAGAAATATTAGTTCAAAAACAATGAATATGGTCATTTCGTTGGCTGAATAGAATATCAATATTATTTCAGACGAAATCTCATTGGGCGCGTTTGCTACTCAGCAGACCAAGCCGCTGAGTAGCAGTCAAACGTGATTGGCTCTTACTTTTAGAACCAACCAATCAACGCAGAGTGTTGATAAGACAAACACAACAGTTGTGTCTGCTGAACGAGACTATTGTCAGTAGATCAAATTATAGGTTTGTTCGCGTTGCTTAAATCCCCAAACATTTTTGCACTTGAAATGAGATAAATATATATTCGGCCGTTGGAGAGAGAGAAAGCGAAGATGCTGAGTGCAAAAAGTGCAAGCAACGCGAATGGAGTGTATGAATCGTCCATAATACAAAATTCGTACTATTCTGACGTCACGTGCGTATGTACATGCAACTTCCGGCATCCAATAGAAAGATTCGTTTTCCAGGAACAAAATGTCGTTGGTCCGTCGGTTGGAGTCCCTAAGAAATACGTTCTGCTATTGGACGTCGAACATGACGCCGAGTTTTCCGTTACATTTCTGGCTCGGACGCCATTGTTATTTCTAACCGAAAATGTGCGTGCCGACATTTTAGTCGTTCATGCGTTCATGGTTCCTCGGTGAACGTGAGGACGGCAGGACGTCTGCGTCTCGTTTGCTCCCATTTACTCCGGTCAGCTCCAGTCAGCTCCGGTTTCGGCGGTTTCGCGCTAGTTTGTCGGCCAAAGTATCTTAGGCGTCGAGCAAATCGAGCAAGTCGAGCACGTAACGCGTATATCTGGGCGTCGAGAGTCGAGAGATCGGTCGTGGTCGCGTTCTCGTCCCAACGAGGAGGCGGAGGCGGAGGTTGCGGCTGCCACTGACGCGGTTCAACCAGGTGAGTTTTCTACGTTGCGCTACGTCGAGATAGCGATACCGAAACGCGGCCATTGTTTCCCTCGGTCGCGTAAACGCGAAATTATTGACCCTTTTATCGACCCGTAGCTCTCACCCTCGGGGCGAATCTGGTTTCCGCGGCCCGGGATATTTCGCGTAAGGGGGGCACGAGGTACGAGGTCCCTCGTCCCTCGCCGATATGCGACGCGTTGTCGGCGTTGGTCGGCGTTGTGGCGCATATCAGGATTTCGTCCAATGCGATCGATCGATGCCGTTGTAATCGCGTTGTCTTTTTCAATTCCAAAATTCTCTTTTCGTGGAAGGTCGAGGTCGTTTGCAAATTTTACGCGGAATTGCGTCATTTGTGGTTTCAACCAGAGTCGCTAACCTCAACCTCAACCTCAACCTGAACCTGAACCTGAACCTGAACCTGAACCTGAACCTGAACGGCGACTTCGTAATCGCGGAGAGGCTATCGACGTATATTTTCCACGATTGTAACTTATGGCACATGCGTTGTACAAAAATATTTGTTTTGTTCATAGACTATTGACGCTGTATCCACTACAGGATACTTTCTCTTTCTCTCTCTGTCTCGTTCATCGATAAGGTTGCAACCATGAGCTATGGTTACAACAAATACAGGTAACGTACGTTTAGTCATGCCGCGGGTTTGCGTTTGTTCGGCAAGATTGATATGTGCTTTACTTTAGTGGCACTTTATTTGAGCGCATTTTGCATTTCGAGCGACTTCACTATTTCTGTTGCCACGTATTTTTACTCTATTTATTTATTTATTTTGTTGTTAATACACACTTGCACGTCAGTACTTTGTTTGGTTACAGCAAGAAGAAAGTCTTAATTTTTTTCTTTACATATAAGATACAATAGAGCATGTCAAAGAACAAAACATGGAGAAAAAGAATAAATAGAATCATAGATTGTAAGCGTAACAGGAAATATTTTTCTCGATTTCTTTTTTAGTTCCACCATGAGTTCTCGTGGTCGTGGATTTGGTTCTCGCGGAGGGGGTTCTTATAGGGGTCGAGGTGGTGGCGGAGGAAACGAGTGGAATGGTGGTTCGGCAGGAGGAAATATATCCAGAGGAGGATACTCATCTTCCAGAGGTGGCAGATTTAAATATTCAACGACGAGCTATGATTCTAGATCTAAATATAATTCAGGTAATATACAGAGAAAGTGTGCGCGCGCACGCACTCTTAGAAACTTATACTGAATTAGGGCTGTGCTCCACTCGGCGTTAACAAACTCTTTGTCCACGTGGTCAATTTAGACAAAAATCTACTCTGACGCATCGAATGGAGCACAGCCTAGGTTGGAGATTATGAAATTTAATATATGTACAAATCCATGTAGATATCTTCAAAATGGAGTAAATAAATGTATGTGATATAATATCGTCGATTTATCTTTACAGGGTCGGAAAGATATTCAAGCAGAGGCGGACGTGGCGAACATTCTAACAGTTATAAAAGACCTCGTGTAAGAATACAGAATGAGATTATAGAAAACTTTCAAAAGCGTTTTTTATGGTATTATCCAGAGTACTGAAATATTTCTTTTTTTTCCGTAGGATTCATATTCTGCTAGAGATGACCATCGATCGTCTAGCGAGTCGACGCGTAAAAGGATAAGAAGTGATTCTTATCAGGTATGTATCCTCTCCTGCCTTTCTCTTTGTAATCTCCTTCATACATTTCTCTACCTCGTAAGATAATTAGTAATTTGAGAGAAAAGTGTAGCATCAACGGCATCAATATGCAATGCTCTGAAATTGGTCATGATATTTCCCTATAGTTAAATTTTTCATAATAAAAGTTTTCTTTTAACAGAAGATTCAAAATGTTTTTAGCTTATGTAATGTAATTGAGAACGATGGTCCTGAAAGTTTGTCACTTGTCGATTAAAATGTAACTTATTAAAGAATGAATTACACAAAGGAATATCAAATGATTTCAGGACACTCGTATATAAGAAAGATTGGTATACTTTAGATGAAGCATTCATAAGTTATCATACTTTCCTTTCAAGCAACGCGAACCAACGGCTTCTCGAACGCTCGTTCTTTTTGCGTTGGGACGCTACTGCGGTGGAACGCTACAAAAACGTCAAATTATTAAAAGATGAATCCTTAAAAGATGAGATATACCTCGATGGTATTTATGATATTTATGATATGCCCGCTGTCCGCATATATCCTATTAAAGTTTGAGAGCTATTTGAAAAGTCGATGGAAAATCGAACGAATAGACGTACGTGCGAGTTGCATCATGTTGTTCCCTGTTAGAGAGCAATAAGCGCCGATTCATTATGCAATAACGAGAATAGAGAGTATAGAGAAATTGTAGAGAAATAACATACAACGTCCTCAGGCATGGGATTTTCATGAAATATCATCCATAAACACATCGTGTAATTAATTATTTAAATTATGTCAAATGCTAAATTACAAGAGAGATAAATTTTGAATAATATTTATACGTTCGTAGACCTTTCCAATCGTATTAGGACGTTCGTCCTTTATCGACCTTACGTTAAACATGACAAAAAGGGAATTGGGAAAGAATTAATGTCTAATATATGCATATCCCTACAGAATGATGGAAAATACTTGACATGCATGATACGTGTAGGGGAGACGAGAGATGGATTTATGGATGTACATACCTATACGTGATATTGTTCAAACTATCTTATTACCAAACGCAACCATGCACCAATATTTACAAATGATTACGTACATAGCGACAGCTTTGTTACTTTCGTTCGGTTATCATCTTCGTGTATATGAAAGATTTGACGTGTCGCACCTAATAACAGATAATTCGACTAAGTTGGAAAGGTCTACCGAGAGCATTATACGTATTGTACACGTATCGTTGAGTGGCGAGATAGACGTTGTTAGCTCGAGGGAAGCGAGCGCTGCTACTACTCCCAAGATTGCAAATGTGAATGAGATTTAGCAAGTATATTTTTCGCACGATTATACGCGAAGTCACGTGATGAGGCAAAAGTATAAAAGGCATTTAGGGATTCTTGATTGTTTAGGGAAAGTCAAATTACATCTAGGTGATACGACGAGCATAGAGTAACGGCAATTATTAATCCTATATGACTGCGACGGTCATGACATGACTGAACCATTTTAAACGATAATCAATTAGCACTGCATGCACGTGATAACCGAATGATGAAATGCAAATGGATTTGAAAACTGAAAATAGAAATACATCAGTTAATTACTATACCGACAGTTACGCTGTTAATTGATCAATCAATTTTTTATTCGGTCGATTGAGTTAGTCAGTTAGCCATTTAGTCATTCGATCACTCGATCAATCCATCAATCGATGTCAGTCGGTTAGGCACTCGATTAGCCCAGTTGGACAGTAGCAATTAAGAGTTAAACGTAGATACGTGTGTGTGTAGAAAGATCTACGAGAGATAAATGGTAGGAAAGGGAATAAAAAGGGGAGAGAAACGATATGGTATGCATAAGCACACATACGTGTATACTTATATATAAATATACAATATGTGCGTAGAATAAAATATAAGGGAGAAAGGACAGGAAATGAAACGAAAGAGAGGAATGCATGGAAGGAGCACAATTAAATTTGATTTGGCAGGGTGGAGGTAGCGGTTCACAGAGGTATTCGTCGTACGGTTCATCTGCATCGGCGCCCTATGACGATAATAAGGGATCGTCATCCACCGTATACGAGGACAAGAGACCGAGCGAACGCGCGTCATCGTACCACCGTTCCGAGGATCGTCATTCCGCCTCACGGAGCTATGTGCCTCCGCCACCTCCTCGGATTAGCGAAATGGCACCGCCTCCGACTCAGAGATACACCTCGAGTCGAGGAAGAATATCGCATCAGAGCTCAAATTACAGAGGTCGCATTTCGACCCGCGGCACCGGTGGTAGAGGTGGTGCATTTCATCGTGTGAGCTCTCGATCGGACGTCCTCATGGCTCGCAAGCGTACTCTGCACTCGCTTGACTATCGTCGAAAGCTGCTAGGCTCACGCTCGCGAGACTACATCCAGCGTGTGCGCATGACTACTACCAAACTACGCAGGAGGTAATTTATTAAGTCACTTACCCAAAAAAAAATCGTACGCAAATACTATCTTCGTTGCCTGTGCTTGAATATCCTTCTTTGAAGTCGGTTCACGCAAACCGACTCTCGGTCGATGACCTGAGTGTCGCAAGACAATGATTTAGATGAAAGCGAACGAACAAAATACACATGCGTGAATAAGTGCCTAGTAAGTAAATCGATTGATAAAAAGTCAAGATGCAAACAGTCTTGAAACAAATGTTTCACTGCCGAGAGAGAGAAAGAGAGCTTTTTGCAGCTTTGTTCTAATAAAGAAGAAATCAGTGATGATACGTATAAACGCAATGTACGTGTGTATGTGTGTATCATCAAAACGCAATGTAATAACTTTCGATACGAGAGCTAAAATAATTGTATTTTACTCGTCATGAGATATAATTCTCTTTAAAGTTCATAGCGGTACGACTATACTATTCATATATTTTTTGGCACGACCGAGAGTGAGCGAAGAAGTCAGAACGCGATGAAAAAAAAAAAATAAAAGAAAAATGAATAATAGACACTTTTAGCGTACACTACGAAACGCATTTCACATTTTGGGCCATAAAGCCGAGATATTAAAACCGATCCTATCGCGATATTTTCTACGTATCATCTATAAGCAAGTTTTGCTCGATGATACAACGAAAGACAAAGAAGCACGAAAAAAAAAAAAAACAGAATGCTGGAAAATAATATAAGTCAAAACAAAATTGCTGTGTCATTAGTAGCGGTACTACTAGGCTACCCGGAAGTAAAAAGGACTCGGGATCCGGGACCAGCGTGAAGGACAAGGATAGAGAGATGGCCAAAGCCATTAATGCAGAATTTTCCGATGACGATGACGAGGAAGATGATAATAAGAGTAATTGGGACGACGAAGAAAAGGTAATTCAACAGTGACGTTGTAAACAAGCTTGTCAAACGTATATCGCTCGTAATCGTGAATTTAAGTATATTTATGTAACTCGGTCGTTAGATATGAATGTATATGATATAAAGATCGATGGTCACAAATGCGGAGGATTGTTTTATTATTTGTTTTTAATCGCTGGTGCTTAAAACCACACGATCGGATCTCTAGCACCAGGTTCTTCCTAACGATAGATTCGTCGAGAATTTTTTTAAATGCATTTATTGCATTAAAATTTGTAATGCATTATTTAACAGCATTTTTTTTTTTTTAATAATACGTAATATCGGTAAATATGCAGAATTTGGGCCACCTCACCGATTTCAGCGACACTTTTTTCTGCCAGATTTTTTCGTTTCACGCAAAAACGCGTCGATTAAGCCCAAGTTCAACGAAATCGGTGAGGAGGCCCAAATTCTGCATATTTACCGTAATATCCTGTTGCGTGTTTTGTAATATTTATTGTAATATCCATTAATGTTATACAGCCGCACGAACGTGATGAAGAGGAAGACTTGGAAGAGGAAGAGGAGAAAAAGAAAAAAGAGGACAAACGTAAGAAGGAAAAACAAGATAGAGAAAGGCAACATACCGAAGATGAGGAAGAAAAAGATGATGATATTAAAGAGGAAGATGATGATCAGAAGCGAGAAGTGAGTTGTCTCTCTTAGCTATATATTTATTACTATTTAAATTACTGTTACTATTATTATCATTATTAGTGTTTTCTTGATTTGTTCTAATCTATTTTATTGGGTTTCTAGGAGGATGAAGATGACGATGGTGATGATGAGGAACATGATGAGAATGAAAAAGCGGAACGTGATAGAACTGCAGATTCCGAAGAATTGCCGAGTAGACGGGACGGTAGAAAATTCATAAAATTGAAATGCCCGCATTGCGCTCATCACAGCGTCACGTTCAGAGAATATTCACTCCATCTGTTCTCTGGCCGTCATAGCGCGGCGATGAAACGTATCGCTGCTCGACATAAGGTGACACTTACGCGTATGCGAGTTGTTCAACGGCAAGAGCAAAGGCGTATTGAGGCCCGCGATGCGACACGTGGCACGTTACCCTCTCGTACTATGTTTTGTGCCATTTGCAAATTAAATTACCGATCCTTGAAAGCTGCTCATCAGCTGTCCGAATCTCATCGTCAAATGAAACGATTCCTCACACCATTCTGTCGTGTTTGTCGTATCCAATTCCGTTCACCAATGTTCTTTGAGACACATATGTGTTCGCTAGAGCACATCAAGGTAACTCTTATATTTTGAACTCTTGTGTATCAATCAGTTGTTAATTTTCCTTGGCACGATATGACTAAATGTAAATCGATTATTTTCCTTTCCTTTCATCAGAGAAAGAGTATACTGAGAGAAAGAATGAATGCAAATGGAAGTGGCGAAGCAGAGGCGGATTCGAGTGCGCCAGAAGAAGATGATAAAGAAGTTAATCTTGATAATTTCATGACTTTGGATTCTGTAGGTGATGTAGACGGTACGTAACAAGCATGTACAAATTATTTCTAATTTGTCAAAGATCTTTCTTGTGGTCAAATTTAATTATCACATGGATTTATCTCTAAATGCCTTATGTCACACCATCATTGTTTTTAAAGAAGACGAAGAGTCCAACGACAAGAAAAAAGAAAAGGCCGAGGGTGAGAGTTCGAGCGAAACTGAGAAAAAATCGAAAGGCAAACAAATGATAAAAGTCGGTGCGGAATACATAAAACGTGTCGAAGTACAATATTGCGAGTTATGCAAAGTATATCTGCCACGCAGCGAAAACATAGAGCGGGCAGTCGCTTTACATTGTTCTACTCGCAGTCATCTTAAACGGTATATCACAACGATGTTAAAGAATAAACAAATCGATAGGTAGACTATTACAATCGTATTATACGTATTGCAGGTACGTGCGAGACAATGACGACAAGGCACTTAGACGTCAAGCGGAAAGGATACATCTTCAATCGTCATCTGCAACGAATGTGAATTCTACCAATTCCACCGTGACTAATAGTACATCGGACAACGCGAAGACTCCTCCCGTCACGTCCGATCCACAAGTATCTGCTACACCAGTGTCTACTGCAGCTGATAATAATGGCGTTTCCGGCCCAGAATACATAACAATTGAAGAAGAAAAATCTAGTAACTTAGATTCTGAAAAGAACGCGAAAGACAGTAAGAATAATCAGGGGGATGAAGACGACGATAAAATTATTTGGGACGATGTTGACAAGGATTTAGGTGACATTTTAAGAGAAAGCGAGGCAGGAGCATCGAAATCGAGCGACGATGAGGATTCGCGTTACGATCGTTTTCGCAATTCAGACAAGAAGCAGCCCGGAAAAGAAAAAGAAAACGAGAAGAGTGAAATCCTCGAAGATAAAAGCGGTAATAATAAAATTAAAGATGTTAAAAATTAAGCTCGAACAGACGAATGTGTTGTATCGTCGAGAATCATCTTTTGCTGTACATCTTCAATTTATTTGACCCATTTTCAGATTATTTTTGAGATTATGTTCTTCTAAATCTCGTTCTAATAATTATTTTTATCATGGATCATGCGAATATACATTTATCGAATTATCTTTTATTTAATTAAACAAAAATAATTTTTGTACGTAATATACCGCACGTGCAAAATATTTGTTTATTATTACGTGTTTCTTCCGTATTATATTTTCTTCTTCGTTTGAAAATATGTGTTAATTACAATGTATTTAAGTCTCACAATTTTCAATTTATGTAATTTTAACATATAAGTATTGTATCATTGATATAATCATATGCGTTGCCGAGGTATCAGTGACATTGTCCAAACGTAATTATACATATACATGAAATAATTAAATATGCAAATTTCAATTTTCAGTTGTTAGCGTGGAGAAAAGCGTGTGCGCCTGATCAATCTCGTGTAGATCTCATGTAAGCACAATTTAACTATAGGTTTTATTGATCGTAATAAATTCCGCACTCTCTAGGATCAATTATATAATTCTTTCGACCAATCCCTAAATCACTTCGTAATTTCGCGACCATTTATTATTAATTATTTTAATAATTGATACCTAATATTTGCTCAAATATTTTGCTCAAGAATTTTTAGAGTAGGTATGTAATGCTATCGTAAATATCAATTTTTCATCTACCAAATGCAATCAAGTCTCTTATTTCTTTTTGTCTGCAGTTAATACAACTAACTATAGTTCTACTTTATTTTGCGAATGAATGGAAAGTCAGAGACTGTCATAAAATCTTCTGTTTATCATGTATTTTTGTCGGGGCAATTTATTGTGTTTGTGATTATGATTAGTGATGAGATTGGTGGTGTTTGACGCAATGCCACGATTGTTTGTTTTTAGATATTTATCTATTACAGTGAGATAATATCTTTCCTGAATCATATGCATTTTTATCTAATGGTTCCTGAAAATTCGTCAAGAGTCTAACAGAGACTTTTGTATTACTATCTTGTATATCATTTATTCATATGATTAAAATATAAGTCGTAATGGAATTGATAAATTTATCGCAGGCCCCGAGAGATGGATGGAGAGAAAAATAGAAATTAGAAATGCTTGCGTAGCATTCCATGTCACGAGTTGTGAATTGTGAAACCGATTACGTGACACGTGTTCAGTTCAGCATGGTTCAGCATTCAAGTGACGTAGCTCACGCATGCGCATAAAAGTCACTGTTCGGAGACATTTGTCCTTACTCCTTCCCCTGCGTCCCCAACCCAATACTCCAATTCGTGATTGTTCGCGATGCGGGGAAACTGCCGGAGGCGGATCCGGGGACCGGGAGGATCGACGAGGACGACGAGTTGTCGTGCGCTTGGCGTCACAAGTCACAACGCTCACAATACGATTCACGTCGAATTGTCACGCTCGCCAGGACCGGGACGGCGTGCGAGCGGTGCGAGGACCGACGACCGAGAGAGATAAACCCGCGCTACAACTCTGCAACGTGTCTCGCAATTCGCAAATTCATCACTTTATCCCCGGGTTTCACCAAACACGGAGGATTGTGCGATTTCGCGGTCCGGTCACGTTCTCGTCAGCGCTGCTCGACGCCGTCCCCCGAATAACCGGAATAGTAACACGCTCGTTTTTGACATCCGCGCGAGCGATTTGATGCTCGACATTGAACAATGGCACTAATGCGAGGACTGCGATCATTTTCCGTCCTGGGGACAAATTACGCGCGCAGAGTCATGCCTAGTCAAGTGATGATCGCGAGAGCCACATCCAACATGCAACCGCTCTCCAAGAACAAGGAGTGAGTAGACGAAATTCAAACAGTGATACTGATCGGTTCTCTCGCGGTCAGAAGCGCTCGAAAGCTTTAGGTAACTTTGATCAAATTTGGGTCAACTTCAACTTAGGCTGTGTTCCTTTATTCACTGCCAGTACTGAAAATCGATAGTTACGTGACGCAAACTATATATTTTCAGCACTGCCAGTAAAAAAGGAACACGGGGTTAATCAGTCAGTGATCAGTTTGATTAGTTGACAATGAAATTTCTAATTGTACAATTCATCTCTTCTCACATGTTGGGTGAAATTAGCAAAAAATTGACAATTCTGTTCATGTTAATTGCTGATAATCAGAGGAGTTCGATCAAAGTCACTCTTAGTCGCCTTCTACTTGACACCGGGTGTAGCGTCAAAACAATTAGTAAGATTAGTGTTGTTAAATGTTATTAACAACTTTCTCCTTTTGAAAATGTCAAGAAACGCCTTGTGAAACGTCTGCTAAAAAAAAAAAGATCTCTGGTATCGCGAGAAATCTTTTAGATATGTGCGTTTAAATGAACAAATACATAAATTTCTGGATAGGATTATGTCTAACTTGAGCAACTTTAGTGAACGGTCAATTAAAATTCACCTTGCTAAGAATTATTAACTCGTGAATACTTAAGTTAAAAGTAGACTTATTAGTAAAGCGATCTAGACAAATGATAAGTACAAAAAATAGATAAATACTGTATTTCTCTCTCTCTCTCTCTCATTCAGGGTCACTATAACATTTGTTAAAGCCAATGGAGAGAGAATAAAGGCAAAGGGGAAAGTTGGAGACAGTATTTTAGATATTGTTGTGAACAATGACCTCGACTTGGATGGTTACGGTATGAACATTTTATATCTACAAAATGTTTTTGTCCTTAATAATTATGCACAAGTCCATCTTGAACAGGAGCCTGCGAAGGAACACTGACGTGCAGCACGTGTCACTTAATTTTTCCTAAGGATGTGTATGACAGTCTTCCTGATGAACCTTCGGACGAAGAGCTGGATATGCTGGAGTTGGCGTACGAGCGATATGAAACGTATGTTTCCAAATTTTATTCAAATTGTACTCTCTTTCTTTTTTGCTAGGTGAAAAATGTTTTATATGCTAAAAGATCGATGCACGAGAGACACATTCTTCGAATCTCACTTTGTAATATCTTATACATTTATTCATGAATTGTATATATTAGCTTTCTATATTTATGTCCCTAAGGGATTTCGAATAAAATTTGCTTTAAGTAGGAGGTCGATTATAGTCAAACATCGTTTGATTTGTTATTCAAATTGATCGTCTCCTTTTCTAATACATTAATTTCATTATATTTTTGTTTAACATGTTTTAAAGATTACAGTAAATTTCTTTTATTTATTATTTATCATGTTTCGGGTGTATAGTTTTTTATTCGTACTATTTTAAATATATGTATATCTAATTATAGCTCAAGACTGGGATGCCAGATAATAATGACTGAAAAACTAGACGGCATTGAGGTGAGAGTACCAGCTACCATTAACGATGCGAGACAAACATGATAACTCAATAAGGTGTTCAATCGGTGCTTAGAAAATTTTAAATTGACTCCATAGCAATATGTTTAGCACAATGTTTTTTTCCAATATAAATGTATTATGTACATAGTAGCTAAAATTATATTCAAATCTAAATATTATTAATATCTTTTAAATGGACTACATGCAATATTTTTTAAATAGACTAAATGGACTAGATAATATTTTTTAAAACAATTGTATATATTACATGCATGATTCATATACCAGAATATACCTATATATACAATATTGACAATATTTTGTACAGAGAAAAATCATTTTTACAAAAAAATATTAGAATATAAACGATGAAAGAAAAATAAAATCTTTTAATTTTTTAAAATGAACTTTTATTTTATTTAATCCAATTATAATCTAGAAATCAGCTGCCGATCCATTTCCGAGTGTCAAAAACCCTTTATCAAATTTTACTTGCAAAATATTATTGTTATTGAGTTTGCGTTATCTTTATTTGTCATCAATACTCTACGAGTATACTGATATATTAAGAATGAAATGCACAAGCATACTTTAATCTAATCACAAAAGAGGTCATAAAAAAGAAGACACTTGTGAATAATTTTAACCTTTCTTATGTTACATTCTCATGGTTATATCAATCGCCAATAAAATATGTTCATCTTTAGGGTAAATAAAAAATGTATGCACATACCGATGAGAACTTTATAGTAGGAAATATTAATCTACTATCGCCCAACGTTCATGAATACATAAATAATTATTTCAATGAAATATTGATGGAAATGTCCTTAAATCAGTCAGAAAAACTTAAATCACATTTATATTATGATTGAAATAATCCACGCACAGCTTTATTCGCAATACATATCCAGAATAATTTATTTTTTCTTGTTTTAATTAATTACATACCAAATACATCTACTGTTATTATGTAACTATCAGTACATAAAGCTAAAACACTTTTGTACTATGTGCGTTATATATGTATATGAACCCAACAAATAACTTACTCACATGATAAAGTTATTACATGCTTCACTACATGCAAATGCATTATTACTACACTACTTACAAACGCGGTGAAGTGTATACATCTATGTTACTATGTAATTTACATATTTTCAGTTTCTTACCCTGCCCATTTAAATTACATCTCTAGAATATATCTCATATACATTCTTGCGTTATGTACATATATATTTAATCGAGTTGTATATCGATTCACTTAAATGTTAAATCGGAATAGAGAAAGTTCATTAAGATTCTTGTTTCGAATTTCTAATTCAATTTATAAAGACACAAGTTGCGAATATTGATATGTTCTTTAAATAAATTCACTCAATGATTTATATGAAATCAAATATAAAATAATGTACGAACAAAGAATTTAGATATAGTATGACAATTAATAAAAGACTTGAAATCATTTTTGCACTTAAATGTTCGACAAGACTGTGACTAAATTTTCAAGATTGCAGAATACATTTGTAAAAGCTCCATTTTCGTGCATTCTTTATTTTGCCGATAACTCATCTTCGGTGATATCAATTTACGGACTCGAAATTCGTTTATTCACGAAAAAATCAATAAAGATATCTCGGAATAACGGATAAAGAAAAAAAAATCTATTTTCAATAACTTTACTTTAGCTAGTCCTAAAAACTATATCTCTTTGTAATTTTTGTTTTTTAAGATAAAATTGATGAAAAAGATGCGAAAGCGAAAGGAAAAAAAAACATTCTCTATTTCTTCATTATATATCTCTTTTATCTAATCTTAAGCTTTTCGTTTTTTCTTTTTGGCATATTCGTGACATCAAGTATGGATTCCGTATTTGTATATCGTGATTACGCAAAGAAAAAATACACGCAGCAGTTTTAGAGAATACGTAACCGAATATGGAACTTTTACCATATTAGTAGTAATATACGTATGTTATGTCATACCCATGGATTATCGAGTGTCTTTGCATAACTTGTTACCACATGATTTGTATTATTATTCCGTGCAACACACCATAAACGACATAAATTCTCTATGCTTTCTCTTTTTTTTTAATTGTATTAGAAGTTGGATTCTGAATGCTTTAGATAACGCGAATATTATATACATATATCGCAAGGATATGAACATTGATACAAATCGAAAATAAAATTTTCTAAAATTTATAAAAACTGTTGTATAAGCACCCTCATAATGCTCTTATATTTTTTATATTCAGGAAGATGTTTTATAATTGCGAAAGTTTGATGCCAAGTATTGTTTCAATGGTTTTGAAGAGAAAAATGTTTGACACAAAGAAAAAATTGTTCACATTGTATTCTACAATTATTTTTAAATACTGGAGCTACAATTTCTTTTAACGTGTGTGAAGGTGTGAATCTTTCATGATCACGCAGTAACGATATAAAATTATAAATCTAATTCTAAATGCGCTTAAATTATAAATTCATAAGCAGCTTCATAGCTTAATACCTTTAAATATTAAAACGCACCGATGTATAAAGAAAACGAAATCGCGTATTTGATTTGTAAATCGTACATCCAACACACATCCAAAGGCTTGAAATTTGAAGAACTCATTCAATAATTCTTTTTTACTCGTGTTATGTTTTTCTTTTTTAGTGAGGCTGCGTTTCGATATTCACTACCAGTACTGAAAATCTGTAGTATACGTAAACTATAGATAGATCAGTACTGGCAGTGTGAATATCGAAACGCAGCTTTAGTAGATTAATGAACGTGCAGGTGGATAAACAACAAATAATTGGATTTATGATTTGCGGAGTTTAACTGCAATCATACGAGTGTTAATTTAAAACGAAATTTAGTGCTCCATTTTTATACAATGTTGATCTACTGAAATTCGCATAATAGACGACAAGATAAATAAAACATAATTTTCATATATTATCATATATATTGAAAATATAAAAAAAATTGAACCATACAAGTAGCTAAGTTTTTGACTTTTTTAATGTTTAATTCTAATTAATTTCTAATAATGTTTTACACTACATACAATAAATATCATTAGGAAAAGATAAACCTGATTTGCGTCGAGTTCGCAAATTTCAAGCATTTTATCAATTATTTTAATTAGCAATTATACAATAATCGGAATTCTAAAATCTTATGCTTTCACGCACACATGTGAACAAAAATAATCTAGGACTAGAGATTCTGCAAAATAAGTACAAATAATAATAATAATAATAATAATAAAGTAAAAACATGGCAAGATTCACATTCGTGCCAATTTCTCATTTTGTCGCAGATCTTAAGGCTTCGAAAGTATGCACACTTTAACAATCGTAGTCGAGGATGATCGGGACTCGGCAAGCGTAAAGATACATTTCATGCAGTTTTTCATAAATTATAATATATCTAATATAAAAATTATCTTAAATATATTTTTAAATTAAAATTTGTTTGCAAAAAGGAAAATTATTGTTTTATTCTTCATCGGAGACTGCATGAATTTTTTTGGTTATCCGATATTCCGAGAGTGTCATGATAACCAGAAAAAATATTTACGAAGGGCAAAATGCAGCACGCATTCGGTACGAGGAATTTTTTTGTCGGCGTTGCGCAACAGGAACCTGTTGCTGCTGTTCTTGGTGATAGCAGGATATACCAGTCGTAAATAAAGCATAAATCGGCAAGTTTCGTTCGGGGAATCGAAATAATTCCCACATTGTAACGACATGACGTAAAATTTCTCCAAGAACATTATGTACAATAAGTATGTATATATATATGTATTTATATGCATACGGTTCCCCCGAACGCATTGAACGATAAAAAATCAAGCAAGCGAAACCCACCTGAGGAAATTGTAATTGGTAGCAACATACAAAAAACATGTAGCTCATCAAGGCCAACAAGAAGTAGCGCTATCGACCAATCATTAAATCATGTTAGCTACAATACTAGCAGGATCAAGACAGTTCGAATTCTGATTATACAAGAGAACTATGTACCCCGGCGAGAGAAACAAAAAACCTTATGACTCGAGTAATACTGGTTTAATGACAGGCCATAAACATGGTCAGTGGCTATGAGAGTATAAATTTCAAGGCCGTTAATTGTCGGAGTAGTATGAAGAATAGACAAACGAAAGACGCTAATGAAATTTCGCTCGGTAAATTCTAATGGAACACTTTTTGACAGTCTTAAAATGTCACCTTTAAATTAGTCATAAAAACGGCTAAAACAATATTCTGGAGCGTCCTGTATCTATAGCAACAGCAATTTCGATCAAATTATCTATCGTTAAAGTTATATTAAAAACGAAAATTATGTCAAATAATGAGACGGTAAAAATTAAATTAAAGAAAAATGCATTGCTGCGGTGTTGCATTGTTAGCTATTATCTTAAATTAAGAAATGAATTTAATTGAATTACCTTTCACACTTTTGCTTAGGCTGTTAACAAAATATATTCGCAAAAATTTATTAAAACTATTCTCTTCTTAGTTCCTTAATCTGGAGTAAATTGTTTAGCAGCAAAACTCCGAACGGTGTTTTTCATTCATCAAAAGTTCGGTAAATATATATATATATATATAGAGTAAGCAAAAGATTCACGATAATTCATCGTTATCAAAGTGAGATCTCCTTCTTATCGGCCCTTGTCAATATCCAAGAATATTGTATCATCAGTAAAGTAAAAGATAAAATACTAACAAGAGAAAATGCAGAACTGAACTTCATCGATTTCGATGAAACTTGGCAAGATTTACAGAAAAAATTTCCCCGAATGTAATGACACCCCTATTTAGATACAGACGGTTAATTGTTTCCGAGATATTTAACAATAAATTTAGTAGCGTCTTTAGAGTTTATTAGGACACTCATGAGTATTTGTGGCGTAGTGGATATGATAACTGTCTCATAATTCGTAGACCTTGTATCATGACTATTATATTATTTTATATATCATGACTATTTATATTATTTATATAACATAAATTTTTTTATATTAAAATAATATATATGCATTTATTTATATTAACAATAATTAGTTTTATCATAAAACATAATACAATAAAAAAATTAATTGATTGGGGGGTTTAAACTCGAAAAAAATTATGAAGTAGTTACCACCCATATCCACTACGCCACTAATACTCGTATGTAAGTGTTCTAATAAACTCTACTCTGAAGACGCTACTACATTTATTATTAAAATATCTCGGAAACGGTTGACCGTCTGCGCCCAAATAGGAGTATCATTACATTCGGGGGAACTTTCTCTGTAAGTTCTGCCAAATTTCATCGAAATCAATGGAGTTTTGAACCTTCCCTTGTAAATGATGATGTCGCAATGATGATAATAACGTTAATAATGCGACAACATGCCGATAACGATACAACATGACACAACGTGGTAATAACAACGTGAGATAAGCAGCCTTAACAATTTTTGGTCCCTTCTTTTAGACAATAACTATTGAAGAATTTGTTTCTAAATAATTTTAGATCTATTTCTCATAAATATTGACTTAAGACGATCCGGGAGATAATCTCTTTCGTTGTTCAAAGAATACGTGTCCGAATAGATCCTCGGATCCTTTCCTCGGTTTTTCCCTTAAGATGCCTAAACGAGAGTCGACAATTCGTGCGGACTGTTGGTGGTAGCGGCACTACTCAGATCGAGCGTGGCCGCCGGCAGGCCGGGGCTCACGCTGCCGCTGGTCTCACGCGGCAAGTGCTGCGACCTGTTGAGCTTGCCGCTGCCGCCGCCGCCACCGTTGGGACTCGGCGGCGACCGATCGCCGGGCGTCGTTGGTGGTGTGGCGGTGACGGCGACAGCGGCAGCAGCGGCAGCAACAGCAGCGGCGGCAATACCGCCGCGATGCGTCAGGTGATTGTGCTGCGCTGCGGCATTCGGCGACGACAGTAATAACGGCGGCGACATGGAGGACACGTGCCGCTGCTGATGAGAATGGTGCTGGTGCGGATGATGCTGATAAGAATGGTGGAGGCCGCGACCAAGTTGGGCCAGACTGACGGTCGAATGACCCATCGCGCCGCCACTGCCGCTGCCGATCTTCGATCCCATGTGCAGCGTTGGCCGTAGTTGCAGCTGCTGATGATGATGATGGTGATGCTGCTGCTGATGATGATGCTGGTGCTGTTGATGCTGCGAGTGTGCCTGCTGATGCGGCTGCTGCTGGTGCTGCAGTTGCAACTGCTGCTGTTGACGCTGCAGCTGCGCCGCGACCTCGCATTGCTCGCGGGCAAACGCCTTTACCGCATTCGTCTTCTCCTACGAGTTGTACAAGAAAGAAAATTATTCTATAAAATATTTCCTTTTTTTCTCTCAGTAAACTTTATTTAGATAGGAGAGAGAGAGAGAATTAAAGAGAATGCGATTTGGAAAAGTATCGGCATTTCCGTAATCCAGGGTGCTTTTATTATATTTCATGTGAAACTTTTGCTTTATGTCATTTCATAAAATTATTTATTTAAATGCAAGTTTCACTTTCGAATTTTATTAAGTAACTAAAATAAGATAAAATAATTAATAGACGACGAGTATATTAGAAAAATCTTTGTCGCAACGCTGAAAGGATTACGGAAGAAATATAATAAAAAAAGAGTCCTCTTCGTCGTGCAATTTATGTAGCAATTTATGTGAAGTTTATCGCGAAGAGAACGCGACGGGGAGCCGCGACAAACGCAGTTATACAAAATCTTCCGCTTAATCACACAATTCATTTACATTACGTAATGCGAAACGGAGTATCGTCCCAGGATCGCACGAACGTTAGGTAGTTATACTGCCATCGGCTCTTTTTCGAAGAGCAAAAACTCGACGACGGACACGTCCGTTCGCACCCACCGTCCGCTTAACGCACACACGCGTACTGGCTTACACGCACGCACGACATCCTGCGTACAGATCCAGTTTGGAATCGAATTACACGGTAGAATGATCACCGACGTAAATAATAGCGTGATAATGACATCGACCGTTGCGGGATATGCTAATAAGGCACGCCGGACGGCGGGCGGCGGGGAGAGATTTAAGGGCGTAGAGCCGGCGGAGAGGGAAGAACCAAGGGAGAGGAGAGAGAAGAGGAGATGCAGACTGGTGCATCGCCGGTCGTGAAATACGAGAAAATAAAGAGGCGAACTGGCTACGACGGAGATCCGCATATCGTGGATGATCGAAAAAGTTCGCACGCCGTTAGATCGCCGGACGAAGGGGAAGAAAGCGGATGGAGGAGGAAGGGCGGAAGATGGGAAGGCGTAAAAATGATTGCACTTTCAGGCGCACTCACTTTCTGCCATACGAAGACGTTGTGGACCATGGCGCATCCGCAGAACACGATGCCGAGGCCGATGAAGACCGACGTGACGATCGCCGGTGTCGAATGGAACTGGATGAACGTGTACAGGATCATGCCTGTGGATCACAATGTGGGATTAATATCGCAGGCGTTACAATAACTTTTTCAGACTTTCGAGTCGTTTTCGTCGTGGGTGCTCACGTGGATCTTTCCAAACGTGGATCAAGTGCGACCCGTATAAATTTAATTAATATCTAACAATAAGAAGAAGCGTTTTGTTCTTACCAGTTAAGAAGACAGGGATGCTAATGAAAAAACCTCCGACGGCGCACACGCGGCTGATGGACGATTTTTGCAGGTACTTGTTACTCCTGAAACAGACAAAAGTCACAGAGCGAAGATGAGTTTCGCGAGTCCGTGATAATTGGGCGAGTTATAAAGGCGCACGCTTTCGTCGTCGTTTCATCGGCAATTATGATTCACGGAAACGCTTCGCGCGGCTCAGGATCGGCAGCATGAGATGCGTTCGGATAACGATTTGATCTTTTGTGGGTTAGCGCGAAATACATCCTTTTTAACTTTTTATAGGTAATATATTAAATATACGTTCAAGATTATATAAAATTTACAAGGAAATAAAATAAATTATTTTTACAAATTAGTTGTAACGTATCGAGGATTGTTGCATTGTTATTATTTAAAAAACGCACGTCAGCCCTTATATGTACATGTATTTCCAATCTTCAAGAAACCCGCGACTGATTGAACGCTGCGCAAATTAATTGTTGCGATACCCGTCCGCGAAAAGCGTCAGATGAGCGAAACGGGAATGCCTTTGGAGTACCTCGCCTTTAGAGCACAAAGGCCGTAAGTCAAAATATTCTGCTCCTCGGCAAATATTGCATAATCGCGAAAGTGCAGCGATACGATCGGTGCATAACGGTACATACTCTCTACAGATAACCCACGCTTTTTTTCCTGTCTTCAACCGCGGCGTTCTCGGCGATCGGCGTTCTGTCGCGCGCGCGAGGTAGATATACCGCGCGTTTAAGCGCACTCCCATCGAAAGAGAGTCGGACGTGTCAAATGGATTTATGGTCCCGACGTAAACGCGGGACCAGTAGGCGTTTTTGTGCCGCAACTAATCTCTCATACGTCGGTGCCACACTGTAGTTAGGCGTGCCCTCGTCGTAATCATCTTAGGTTCTCCATAAATAAAACGCCGGCTACAATGCTGCTCCAGGCGTGCGTAACGATAAAGATTATTTAAAGAGGCCGGCTTTAACTCTCTCAGATTAGATCCACCGAATTAGGATTACTATGTATTTTCTCGATAATGCCGCGAGCGAGATTTCAATGAATTATCTGAGAGCCAATAATTGAATATGACTTAAATTTATTGCGACAGAGACTTTTTAATTCTTCAGAAATTCAATATTATTTCAAGTGTGACAGATACGCGAGAGGAAATATTGTATTAAAAACCAGCTGGACAATTGTTTAGGAATTTCTTACATAAACCTGAAGTATATTACGTCTACTTTTCAGTTATTCTCTGAAACACATATCTTGTATGTATGTATGTGTAAAATATCCTTGTAAAAAGAAGATATCAAATACAAGCGTAATTGAAATCGTCTTCGCCTAACGTTAATTATAGAACCGGTAATTTATCGCAAAACGCGCGCGGTAGCTTACTCCCAGAAATAAATTACCACTATACTAGAAGTCTCGAACAATAGTAGTTCTAATCGCTTCGCATGACCCGCTCGTGTATCCAAAGAGATCGTTGACCCCGAAGGGCGGCAGCAACGGCTGCGTGGGAATTCCTCATTGCACCTTATAGATGACGCTTATTTAGAAACGGCACGCAGACGAAGATTCGTGAGCTTTTTGCGGAAACACGGTTTGGTATGGAAAGGATGCTCAGCGATTACCGCTCGTTTTGCTCTGCAAATGCACGAGAGAAATTATATCAAATCTGCGATGACATCCGAGGTACTTGCGCCAAATGGTGTATTTTACGGGAAACTATACCATTTTAACATCATGCAGTTTACTATCGTTTTTCGGCATTCTTTATTATTTCTCTTCTTACTTCTGTCGTTTCTTGTTTTTATTATCGACTTTATTATTATACATAATAATTTTACATCCGGCTATATTATCGAAATTACTATACCAAATTTTCGTTTTATCCATGCAACGTTTTACCTACAGACTCCATTTGGCATTTCTCGGCTTCTCGGATTCGAGTATCGTTGGCATCTCCACATTCGTCATTCGTCATGCCTCTCTCCTTTTCTTTCGCGCACGACGAAATTATACGAGCCCGAGTTGAATAGACGCGGACGCTTTTGTCGGTCCCTCGTTGTGCTGTCGTTGTCGTCGCATTTGTGCATCTCTCACCGGTCATGAATGAACGTGCCGAACCAAAGCAAGGCGTCTTCCCGCGTTAATGCGCGAGATCAACGGGGTTTTGTTGAGTGCCGATAGAAGCGAGTCATTCCGGAGCACCGAGAGTGACAAATCACGCGCCAACGGCTGCAACTTTTACCCGTTATATACCAGTCGAGCAGACAAACGGAGACTTTTCTCTTTCATCGAGATGACGGAGGAAGAGTACAGTAACGTAGTAATCTAGTAATGTAACGTTACGTGAATTCACGTATTTCCCGTGATTAATTCGTAATGAATATTATTAGAGGTAATAAATTTATAACAATTTTATAATCAAATATTGCCAGTCGAGTATCTTTCCATCAGGAAAAATGAGGTATTTTTAGGGTCGGCGTAAAAATTAGTTACGCCAATTTCGGAAAAACGGTTGAAAAATTGCATTATAAAATGCTACAAGTCGTTAAGGAATTTTCACCTGACGTCATAATAAATTGAATGCCTAAGAACTCTAATTTTCTTCTTTGCAAAAACAAAGAAACAAGACATACATATGCATTTTCGCGCGTGCTAACTGTTAAGTGGCATTGTTGAGCGCGGTACGACGATGAGCACAGAATTATACATTCCGTCTACTTTTACATAATGGCAATCTTTCGCACGAAAGCAGATTGTAACAAACGCCGCGACCGTTTGTTTGCTCCGTATTCTTTATATCGACCGCTACAATAATTATCTTTAGGATTTACAATAGTAATCGGACCACGTGTATTAGAAAATCCCGTAACGGTCGAGGTGAAAAATTCCCACCCAACTCTCGCGTGCGAAATGCGCTTCCTTTCATCAGTCTGTCATAACTTCTTCTTCTTCTTCTTCTTTAAACTTCCTGATACCAAACCGCTACGTTACCAGCCTATTTGGCCAAATTCGAGCGTAATATTGTGTTCAACGAGATCAAGGCCAGCTGAAGAAGTTTGAGTTAATTGTTCTTATGCGCAGTCACTTCCATTTAACTTCTTTCATCAAGACTTCCCATCTTCGGCAATTAGCGCTTCCTCCCAATACGATCAATGCGTATAGATCATTTCCGGGAATTCGCCCCCGCGCGAGCGCGTGAATCGTCGGAAACATTGACCCGACATTCACCCCCGGGACCAAAATATCCGTGAATCCGGTTGATATTTATAAAGCGGTGAGATTTATTAATTAAGCGCGACCGCCGGAAAGTCAGCGACCGGCCGCGACGCGGTGCGGCACAGCTTAATGACCGCGCAGAAAATCATGTTTCAGTGTCCACGTGTGCCCGCTACATTCATTGCCGGAGCTGAACAAGTCGGAGAATGTCGTTCTAGAGTGGGAATCTCGCTCTCTGCTTCGAGGTGATTCTCGCTGGTCGCGGTGAACGTAATGCTCTATTGATAACAACAAAGAGATCCGTTTCTGACGACCGAATATATTTTCGTACACAAAACAAACAAGTTTTAGATGATTTCACCAACGTACACACATGGATGTCTGTGTCGTAAAGGCATAGAGTCCAGATCAAACAGAGAACACAAACAAACATAAATAGACGAACTTGCTTTAATAATTAAACGTAAATGGCGTCGATTTAAATCAAATATATTCTACTTTTCGGCACGTTAAAGGCAAAAGGCTCGCCACATTTGTCCATATTTACCTGTAAATGTTTGCTCTTAATCGTTCGTTCTAAACTAGTTTGGCCTGGATTCATCTCGAGGTATAAAGACGTACAACATGCAACGTAACGTAAAACATGCAAACGTATAATAATAAAATAAAATACGGCAAATCCCAAGTTCTTGTAGTCCCCCCGAGGAATAGATGCGTCGAACTTATACTCAGTCTAGTTTCTCGCGGAGGCGAGCTGTTCCCGGCTCGTGGAACGATCATCTCTTCAAGTGAACCATGCGCCTTCACGCACACGCGTGTGTGTGCGTGCGTGAACGTGACACGCGCGCGCGCGAAGCTCGCTGTTACAGGAAGAGGCGCGCGTGTAATCTGTTGCGAGTGTTGCAAAACGGTTAAACTTGTGGAGCGTTGTTACGAGAGCGTGGCACCCAATCAGGGCCCCGAGCCCCGATACGCGTTCGTGCGCGTATTCCGTGGAATGACTCGGCGCAACGTACACACGTGCACGCAAGCGTGTCGCCGCGATCATCGGGCCCTTCCTCGTTGTCTTTATACGGTTCGCCGCGGACCACGTGACCACGTGACCGAGCGACGCGACGGTGCGGAGCGTCGTGGCTGTTGCAGCCGCTCCGCGCTTCACTTCCGGTCTCCCCGGGCACGGAAGCCGCCCGCGGAACCGTCGCGTCGACGTCGGAGCTATAACCAGCTATAACCGCGTGCCGTTACTCCAATCTCCGCGAACACCGTGCGACATCGTGCCCGGATTCGCGCCCTGTGTAATTTAATTAGAGCCATTTTGTGCGCGTCGCATGAAAATTGCGGTACCGTGATGTACGATTGCACGGAGCTGCACATTCGTGCAGACAGTATCACGTAAACGTATTAAAGAAACGTTTCCTTCGTTCTAAGCAACTCGTCCCTCCAGAACTTGCGAGCATCGCGCACCCATTTGCCAATACTGAAATAAAGTTGCTTTTGTCGATTACGAACGCAAAACTCGATTATCGTTCTGGCTCTAATTGTAAGTAGATCTCGTACGGTCGTGCATGGCGGATGATCATCGGCCGGGTACATCCGCATAGCTTCGCGGCGTCGGCATTCGCCGTGGTCGCGGATGCAAGTGGTTACCGGATGATGGATCATACGCTGATCACACGGCTCCGTCGTCGCGGATGATGGATCATACGCGCGCGCGCGCTCGCTTTACAACCGCGATCCTTCCTCCCTCCGTTCCCGCCGTCCTTCCTTCCTCTACCACCTCCCGATCCACGCTTCTTGCATCCTCCTGTGCCGACAGGTGTCTGTAATCCGTGTCGCGGTC